GCGAAAAAATCGCAAGTTGTTCTCGGGTGGGACTCGAACAAACGATCTCCAGATTACTAGCCTGGCATCATACCTCTAGACCACCGAGCTTGCGCCTGATGGCCAGGGTTGAATTCGAGTCCAAGTAAGCAGCGGGTTAGGTAGGGCAAAATTACACCTATACATGTTTCTCCTGACGCAAATCCAGTTATTGTCTAATCCATCACGACAATAACAATTACTATCAACAATGATGAGGATGACGAGAGTAATAACTGATAATAATATTAATAGCAATAAAAAGTGAAAATTGTGCTAAATGCGAAAAAAAAAGTTGTGATTTGTTGTTCATACTATAGTATATATAGTTAAAGCTTAGTAAGCTATTTAGGTTATCCTGGATATTAAGTAGAAACCTGATAAAAGATCATGAGAAATTTGTTAGCGTTTCATTTTGCTTGTGGTTGTGAAATCACGTTTTTGAAGTAGGCCTATGTAAAGTACATACTCAAAGACAATGTTTTTAAGCTTTGTTTTCTATGGCATACACACACACATTAATAAGATCTCTATGGTTGTCAAAAATCCCTGATAAAAGATCATGAGAATTTTTTTTTGCCACTTCATTTTGACTAATGGTGATGTGATGATGATGAATTTTACTAATAGTGTCATTTCTGGCCATCTAGATTTCCTAAAATTTACTCACCTCAGCTCCAACCTTTGTGGGGCTGAGGTGGGTGTCGACTCACAAAAAGCCCTCCCCCTCCACCTTTCAAAACAGGTCTGTGCCCTTCCCTGGGTATGACATTGAAATCCATCGAATCGGCTCCTGATGTATGTCTTAGTGACTGCTGTTTGTTTTTAGGATGTGATCTGGTTTTTCATGTCCATTTTTCGTGATTATGACTATTCTGGCAGTGGATAAAGAATGTTTTGAGCAGAGGTGGATTTAAGGCACCCCCCTCCCCCTCATTTTTTAAGGAAAAATGAAGAAGAAAATATATTCAAATTGAAGTGCGAGAGTGTAATTTCCGGCCATCTAGAGATGCCCTAGTAATAAATTTTCTTACCTCAGCCCCAACCATGGTGGGGCTGAGTTGGGTGGTTCCTCGGTTTGTGAAAGTCCCTCCCTGGTTCACCTCTCTTTCAAATTCCTGGATCTGCCACTGTTGATTTATTATATAATTATTTTTGCGCTTATTTATAATGCGTCTATTGCAATTTTCAATTTATCCTCTCAAACAGTCCTAAGAACGTTCAGAGTGCGCTACTTCACAGGGGGATTCGCCTCCTTGACCCCACCGGGGTCCTACGTAATTTGCATAACGGCTTCTCCCCTTTCAAAATCCTGGCTGATTCAGGGACGAACTACACGAAAATGACCACGCCCTTTATTAAATGACTACGCCTCCTTTTTATAGGGTAGGGGTATTTTGAAATTAAGCTACACGGTATAAAAAAAATAGCAAATGAAGGGGTTTTTATTCTAACTGAGCACACATGACAAGGGAATTAAATTCCTAAAATTACGTCTCCGTCACATTTTCCGTTCATATGCAAATTTGCTTGAATATGCAAATTAGGAGTGAAAAAATAGGGTTCCCATGTGCTGAGAACAGCTGGTCGTAGCGAGTTCCTTTCTTTTTTAAATTGTTCAGACCATGCATATTTCTATTTGCTTTAATGTGACATTTGCTTTAAAAATGAGCGGAAATGTCATATTTGACCTTTGACCCTATTTGCAAATTTTCCATATTCTCACGACTACTGACTGTAAAAAGTTGGTTTTGGTCTCAAACTACGCATACTCAAGTTCCGATTCACTGTAATTCACTCAGAAATTTCACAAACTAAGTTCCTGACCTTTGACCCTGCATGTCAATTTGCAGCTGCAATACCATAACAACAGTTGGAGAGTGTTGATTTTAGTATAAACTGTCTAGAAGGTAAAATTTTATATCAATCTTGACAGATTATCAGAAAATGATGAGCAATATTTTATTTTTAATTACACTATCAACAAATGCTATCTTTAGGATTAGTAATGAGAAACATATTTAAAAAAAAACGTATTACATCCTCTAATAGGCAGCAGAATGTGAGTAGTTTATTGATTATATAGAAATTGTATTTTGAAGCATCCTATTTTTATCTTGAGGATATTCCCTCACGATTAAAATCCTAACGGTAGTGGGTTTGGTCTACAGGAGTTCGTGTTTCGTACAGGTCATTCCATTCATAGAAAAAGCTTTTATATTGGAGAAAGCGTACCTGTCGTTAGCAGCCTAGGTCAATACTAAATCCGGCTATATAAAATTGATTAGAAGATTTAAAAATATTAATCTTATTATTGTACTAGTGATACTATGTACACGTTCTAATTATTGTTATTTATTCGTTGACGTTATTATATTTACATTTAAATGTAATGTATTGTTTAAGTATGAATTACTATGTCCATCTTAAATTAATCATATCTATTAAAAATTGTATATTTAAATAATATAGTAATAGGCATAACCGAGGTCTAGCCTAGGCTAGGCCTAAACAAGTGACTATATATGCGAGTGTATAAAATTATGAAAAATATGAATAAAAACGCAAAATTGTGAAAGAAAAAAGGAAGAATAGGAAAGATATTTGAGGTTTATGTAAATTCGATTTCGAATTATCAAAGGTGTAGGCTGTGGCACCGAAACCTCTGACGATTAGTGCCCAAAAATGTTTACAAAAACGTAATGCAATAATGTCATATTGACTACTATTATATATTTTCGGAAAATATTTCAGCCGCTCCAAATCTCTTTTCTATTCTTCCTTCTTGCTGTATTTATTCATTACTTTTAATTCATAATTGTATACACTACAAATATAGTCACTAGGTTTAGGAGGCCTAGGCTAGGCCTCAGCTATGCCTATTACTATATTAATTAAATATATAATTATAATAGATAAGATTAATTTATTATATATATTCGGAAAATATTTCAGCCGCTCCAAATCTCTTTTCTATTCTTCCTTCTTGCTTTATCTATTCATTACTTTTAATTCATAATTTTATACACTACACATATAGTCACTAGGTTTAGGAGGCCTAGGCTAGGCCTCGGCTATGCCTATTACTATATTAATTAAATATACAATTATAATAGATAAGATTAATTTAACCTAGACATAGTAATTCATACTTAAACAATACATTAAATTTAAATATAAATAATATATATAATATCGTTAACGAATAAATAACAATAATAGTATAGTATCATCATTATTACAATAATAATATTTTTCAATCTTATAATCAATTTTATATAGCCGGAGTTAGTATTGACCTAAGCTACTATGGCTAACGACAGGTACGTTTTCTCCAATATAAAGGCTTTTTCTATGAATGGAATGACCTGTACGAAACACAAACTCCTGTAGACCAAAACTAGTACCATTACGATTTTAAATGTGCGGGAAATATCCTCAAGATGCATTACGTTTTTGTGAACAATTTTGGGCACTAATCGATTTCGAATTATGAAAAGTGTAAGCTGTGGCGCCGAGACCTCTGACGATTAGTGCCAAAAATGGTTTACAAAAGCTTAATGCAATAATAGCATATTGGCTACTAAATATACCCAATTCTATTCTCTTTTAGGCCTAATCCTTTTTTTGCTTTATTTTTTAGCTTTTCGTAATTTTTTTACTTTGTTTTATTTCATGAATTTTTTTTTTATTTATTTAGCGTTTCGTGTCCTTTTTTTGTGATGTTATTGTACTGTGTTTTCTTGGTCTATTGTTTAACTTCAATATTTTTATGATAAAAATTGCAATAAAGCTTCTCGTATCTCGTATCACTACTATTGTATATTTTCGGAAAATATTTCAGCCGCTCTAAATCTCTTTCCTATTCTTCCTTCGTCCTTTATTCTTTCACAATTTTGCGTTTCATATTTTCATAATTTTATACACTTACATATATAGTCACTTGTTTAGGCCTAGCCTAGGCTAGACCTCGGCTATGCATGTCTATTACTAGATTATTTAAATATACAATTTTAATAGATAAGATTAATTTAACATGGACATAGTAATTCATACAACAATACATTTAATTTAAATGTAAATATAATAACGTTAACGAATAAATAACAATAATTAAAACGTGTACATAGTATCACTACTTCAATAATAAGATTAATATTTTTCAATCTTATAATCAATTTTATATAGCCAAAGTTAGTATTGACCTAGGCTACTATGGCTAACGACAGGTACGCTTTCTCCAATATAAAGGCTTTTTCTATGAATGGAATGACCTGCACGAAACACGAACTCCTGTAGACCAAACCCAGAACCGTTACGATTTTAATCGTGCGGGATGCAGTATAGTCAAGTGTTTTAAACCATCAACAGACCTTGAGACATTTGAAGATCTGCGCCTTGCTGCATTTGATAGCAATACCCTCAAAATGGACTTTGGGAGAACAGCTTTTCCTCAACTAATGCAAGAAAACATATCTATAGAAGCTACTACCAACAGCAGCTGTGGGTTCAAGCCCCTTTTAGAAATGCCACATCGATTATCAATGCTGAGAATTTTGGTTTTGTAAGGAGTGGCAGTTTATTCGTCCCTGATATTGTGATCTCGAAACCTGATGGCCTGCCAGATCCCTGCACGTGTGGCAAATGTGCTCGCAAGAATTCGTGTCCCTGTAGAAGAGCTAGAATAAAGTGTTAAATGTGTGTAATAAAGTACTGTAAATGCAAGGGTGGTGATTGTTGTAAAAACCCAATCACTGAGTAAATGCTGCTGATTGATAGAAATACAATTTATTGTTAATTTCTGATAAAATCACAACTTCTAAACAATATTACATCAAAGTCAATATATTTGACCTATTATTATGAAGTTACCATAGAGCTATTAAACTATTAGAGTGCTGACAAGATGGCGCAGCAATGCAAAGTTATGTATGCGTACCATCCAAGATGGCCGTCATAGTAAAGCGCCACCTTCAGGCTTAGTATACATATTATTACATATTAATAAGCCCTCTGACTGACTATTATTTCATTAATGATAATGAGTAATGGTAATAACAAATTATTAAACTATTGTAGCCAAAACGAGGCAAGTGGAGCATCTTATTCAAAAATAAGTACCAAGGAATGAAAATTAAAATCGTGTGCATTACCAAACACCGCAACTCTCGAGTTTCAAACATACGGGTAACTAGCTGTACTGAACTTTCTGAGTAAATTGAGGGCGCAATTGCAAATGATGGCGCTTAGCGAAATTTGATTGGCTAAATTTATGGCAGCCATCTTGGATGGTACACACACACATTTCTGCGTATTTCGAACATCGAATACATTGCGATTAGCGCTCTAGTATTCTTATTATATCTCTATTGAAGTTACACACAACTAAAGTGACCTGCCAGGTCCAAGGTCAAAACTGTAGTCTAGGTGCCTTCAAAAAATTTGAACCAAAAGTGAGTAAAACTAATTATACATGAATAATTTAAGACCAAACCAAGTTTTTACAGAGTAGACTTGGGAATAGGAAAAACTTGTAAATAGGGTCAAAGGTCAAATATGGCATTTCCGGTCATTTTTTAAGCAAAACAATTTTATAAAGAAAGCTACTCGCTACGACCAGCGGTTCTCAGTGAAAAATATGAATAATTATATGACCAAATAAGTTAGTGAACTAGAACTCATAAAACGTCGATAAAATCGGATCTTCCAAGCCAAAACAACAGAGATTATTTTAATCACGACTGCAATAGTCAGGCTTAATTTTTAACCTGCACTTCAGGAACCCATTAGCTTTGTCATTTAATCGTATCAAACATGGAAGTAATCAATTCAATCAATCCACTTTGATGTAACAAAATATCAAAATGAATCAGCATATTCGTTTATACCGGAATTAGTAAGGCACAAGTTTAAAACAAAGTGATCGTTTTGATAAACATTATCTCATCAACTAGATTTGTTTATGGAATTTACTAATTTTCCATATGCCTGAGATGATAAAAAGAAACGTTCCTGCGAGACTTCAACCGTTCCATCGTCGAAAGTGATCGGAAACTGACATTTTGTCTGCTGACTTGTTTGAAATCAGGTATGATTAATTACTTTCTTATACATAAGCCTAATCGTATTTTGATTTTAGTCATAGATTTACATTTGATTTTTATTTTGAAACAAATTACAGTAGAACCCTTCGTTTGGGGCACTCCTATCCAGGGGATACGTCTATTAAGGTGACACTTTGCCGTAAAACGAGGGGCGATATATCTTTTAACACTCCGGCCAAATCCTAATAAGGGGACACCCCTATTAAGGGGACGGGGACACTTTCTGAGTGTGTCAAATGATCAAATAACCCCTATTAAGGGGACACTTGTTTTTTCAATTGTATCACAACAAATACAACAGTCTCTAAATAAGAAAAATTCACTTTATATATTGACACATTTTGAGCAACTTATTAAGGAACTTCTATCACCTTTCTAACTATCATTTCTACTACTGTTTGTCAAGAGCGAGCTTTTGGTATAATAATAATAATAATATTATTAATAATAATAATAATAATAATGGTAATGATAATAATAATAATAATGTTAATAATAATAATAATAATGGTAATAATAATAATAATAATAATAATAATAATAATAATAATAATAATAATTTAACTGAAATTGAAGTGCAAAAAGAATTTTGAATCAATTCTTTGTTTGGCAGTAGTTCGGTGTGTTAAAGTATTTTCATTGTTTGTTGTTTTGTTTGTATCTGTTAAAGTGGTGTTCTGTTCTCACCTCGTATTGATTTGATTGAATTTTGTATTTTGAGAAATTGACAATTTTTTTGTGGTTTTTATTTTAATTGTTCTGGTATATGTATGAATAAATTGTCCGTTTTAATTAAATTGTTCTATTAATGTAAAGTTTTTCTAGGCCTACTACCTTACTTCTAGACTGTTCTGGGGTTTTTTGAATAAATTGAATTTGAAATTAATTGTAAATGAAAACTGAATTTGGAAATTTGAAATCTGAGCTAAAACCTGAATTTTCTTCCCAAATTCTTGGAGTGAATATCGGTAGGACCTACTTCATTTGTTACTTCGTATAAACCAATCTTTTCAATTTTGACCCTTAACCATGGGGATTTCATTGCATCATGAAACAATATTGGGACTATATAAACCTATTGTTGTTTTAATTACATTTCTGCTAATTTCATACTTAAAATGAATTGTATTTGCATTGCAAATTATTGCTATGAGTTACTGTAAATAATTGTGTCAATAAAATAAATATTATAAAGAATTTTATATCATCGCTATATGAAAACATGTCAAAACCCCTATTAAGGTGACAATTTCACGTTTTTGGTTAATGTCCCTGAATAGAGGTACCCTTATTCAGGGGACACCCCTATTAAGGGGACACTTATTTTGGTCCCGAAGGTGCCCCCTTAATAGGGGTTCTACTGTATAAGGACATGTTTCAACTGTCTGACCTGTTCGATATGTAAGCCCCGGTGTTTCTGTCGGTGTTATTTTAGTTTAAGCATAATTTTTCCATCACTGTTGGTATCAGCGAACCACACAATACTCTTCATAAATACTAAAAATCTAATGTCGGCAAATGAAAATTGAAACCTAAAATCAACATTTAAGTTAAGATTCTATATAAGCATATTTTGTACAAATAATTATTAATTTAGTATTTAAACCGTTAGTATCATAAGCGTTATTACCTGATGATGACGTGGGACACGTCGAAACATGCCGTTCATAAGTTTTAATTATTAATTTAATTTCATTGCTGCTAGTGCAAAATAAAAATTCCGAACGGTCTAAACGGGTTTCTGTAACCTACATTGCTAGAAACGTTTAGGCCTATTGCCGTAAGACCTAACATCTACTTATCGGGTACTGCACTACATTTAGTGATAAAAATGTGGTCCTCGCAGCGCTTATATTTTGTAGAAAGTGGCTTATAAAAATGATCCGCAATAATTCCTTATATCACATTAGCTGATATTTAAATAAAAGGTATCTGAGATAGTGATGAAACGCCATTGAATCGAAGACGTAAAAAGCTAAATATAAAGACCCCTCCAATTAAAGACCTCCAATTAAGTAAAGACCACTTTTATGCGGCCCCGGTTGGATACCTAATTTTCATCGTTAGATATTCCCTCCAATTAAAGACGGACTCTATTTATAGACCAAAGTCCATAATTTTGACGGACCCAACTGGAAATTTTCCCTCCAATTAAAGACCACTGTAAAACAAATAGTGATGTTAATGCAGATTTTGTCTATAATAACACATTTGTTGTATGATTTAAACATAAAATTATTTGCCAATGCATATTGTAAGATAATGTTTTGTATGTGTTTTGTGTACATTGAATAACAATAAGCCTAATGT